TAAAGTGTTCAGGGAGCCTTCACTGTGAAAAGAATCCGCTGTATTCTTCATAAGGATGGGAGCGTTTTCCTTCCGGGGATTTATGCTAGGCTACAATTTACTAACAATCCTCTATGGGAAAAAGTGCAAAGTTCTGAAGGAACCAAACTATAAATTTTGACCACAGCTCCAAACCACAAGGGAGGCTTTTATTTACAGTGAAGCTAAGTCCAGCCATACTGTGCATCCAAAAGAAAGACTTCGATGCGGTTTGTTCCAAAGTCCAGAACTAAATCTGATAGGAAATCTGTTTGTCAGGATGTTCTCCTCATCTGAATGGGGAAACTGAACAGGAATAAAAAAGTATCAGTTTAACATTGGCCATACTTGTGCAACCAGATCATTGAAGTTTTAACAATAATCTTCCAATATATGTTGATTTTTTTTTAGTTGAATTTGAACAGACATAAGTGGAAAAGTTTTGAAGCTGTTTACCATAGATTTATGTTTTTCCTCCAATACAACTTAGGATTTGAACCAGGATTGGTGATTGATTTTTTAGTCTGAAAGATAAGCTTGTTAGTGAAAATAAGATGTTATAGATCAATAAAATTGTGTTTTTAAAAACTATCCATAATAGACATCTTACTGAGTTCACAGCTCACAAAGTCAGACAGTAAACCGGCTGCAGGTAATCGGGAGTCGTACACTGATCATTTAAAAACGCTGTAGCGGCAGCAATTACAAATATTTGACAATAATTTTTGTTTTATAACCAATAATATGTGTACTTTGCCATTTTAATTAAACATATCCTTTTCATCGTGGATAGCATCTTCTCTTCTACATTTGCAGCCCTTTATTCAGCAACACTGGCAACATCTTACCTGGTAAAAACATGTTCAGGATTTTATTCAAACACTCTTATGTACAGCCACCCTAAGGGAGAAACTTTTAGATTCAACTACTTAAACTTCCTGCATCTGAAAGCTTCCGGATCTGACATATAAAAAACAAAACAAAAAAAACCACAAAGCACAGTTCCTGCTGAAAAATGCGTTTTATTTTTATTCTTAATTCGTGCTTAGTTCTGCAGACGGAGCTGAATCAATTGTTGTTGTAAGTAAACATGGGGCTGTGTCATAGTCCTTTGACCATCTTTTTAAAGAGAAAAGACAAATGTCAGTTTTAAACTCCCTTAAAAGTCAACACAGTCTTCCTTAATGGAAACCTTTTTTTAATAACAGACCTTTTATGAAATGAAAACGAACCATTAAAGCATTTCTTAGGCCAAACCTTATCAAACCTTAAAAGGTTTTCCAATCAGTTTCCCTGGGAATGGACAAGGCATCATACATGACGTCATAGTTTTGCTGAAGAAAAATAACCGTTAACATCACAGGATATTTTATCTATGTCTTTCCTATGTTAAATAGGCTTTTACTTCCCTTTCTCTTATCTTTTTTAATTTGCTTAAATTACTTACATTCAACTGCATGAATGATTATTTTCTGGACTGGTTTGTGTGTCCATTAAAAAGGGATGTATGTCAAAATCAAGCAACGTTTATAATGTTACTTTATAAAATAGATTTTAGTTCAGACAATAGTATTACGTCTTATAAAGCATGAATTCCCTGCTGGGCGCCGTGTGGACCAGTGGGAAAGCAGGTTCACTGTATATGAAGACTGTAGTCCTCAGCTCAGCTGTTAGACATTCGATTCTCAACCCTAAAAATCTAAATCTTAAAAAAAAACACACAAAAAAAACACAGTGAGTAAATACATTTTTAATTGTGCTAATTTTGGGGGAAAATATTCACTTGACTGATCCATTTTCTCAGTCCGCCATTTTGGCTGCCGTACATGACGCAATGACCCAAGTGGAAAAGAGATAGCAAACCTGTTTTTAGGATGCTCAGTTCAATTCATCAGCATGGAGTGAAAACCGCTCCTCCAGGCTGGAAGTATTACTGCTGGTTGAGCGATGCTATCATGTTTTATATCCATCTGTTTGTGGGTGACGTTGTGTGTTCAAGTGTGTTGGTTTGACTTACGAGTCTTGGTGGGCTGTACTATATTTAGTTCCTGTAGTTAAACTGTGTGTCCGGTCTCTCAGACATCCTCCGGGGCTTGGCACAGCCAGATGCCAGCCCATCTCGGCTCTGGCCATCTTGTCATGTGTTACAGGAAGTCCGTCGCTCCGAGCAAACCTGTCGGATGTGGCGGCTATTAAGTTAGGAGCCGCATGACCACAGGGTGAACCTCGCTTTGTTTTTATTTTTTTATGAGGTATAGTAAAGCCCATATAGTTACCTCTTTTAGAGCCATATGCATATTTTATGGAGAACTTACTTAAACAAGGGCAGCCCTAAGAGAATAGAACAAAAGGAGAATCTTACTTTTAGTAAATTGTGAAAGATAAACTCTGCTGGTGGACCACACAAGAAATTTTCCAGTCAACCAGTTTTGCTACTGTCTTCCCAGTAATTTCTGAACACTTTTTCAGTCAGCCTTTTGTTGAGATAATGCTTGACCACATTGTTTTTCTTTCTGCCAGAGTTGACAAAATACACACAAGATTATTATCGTGCAATCTGTGACTGATCCTCTGGGAAGAATTTCAATACTCAGGACTGAGTTATTGTGGCTATGGATTTTGAAAAACCACGCAGCCATGACGTTCAATCTCTCAAAAAATCTTCAGTTCTAGGAAAGTGGGAAAGAAACGCTTTCCAAGCTAGACTGTATATTATTTAAAAGTAAAAATAAGCAAGTCTGATTCATGAAAGAAAAGAAAATTAGTCACAAAGGCGATAAGAGTTTCACATGCAGATAAAGGGTATACAATTTGTCAAAGATCTGCATAATAAGACTTGTAACTTTATTTACCAACAGAACGAAAAGCCCAATTTTGAAGCTAAAATTCATTCAATAGTTAATCCTGCAGCTAACAGACAAGCTAACAATTAAAAACATCTGCTAACACATTCCTCCTGCACATAATTCAAGCTAATGAAAAAGCCTCTCTTAGCTTTCTTTCTATGATTTAGGCGAGAACAAACCACCAAAACAAAGGCCATTTCTGTGACGTTTAAATGCGGCAGTGCAGATGTAACTTTGGGAAGATAATTCCTGATGTGAGTTATCCAGTCAGGAACAGTTGACTCTGCCTTTCGCTCCACTGAATAATAAATGTTCAGTACATAAGGTTTTCTTTTTATCACAAAAGGCTAAGCACCTGTGCTACAACAGCCTGTATTGTCTCATGCTCTGGTAAGCTTGTTCACACTGCTGTTTTTACACTCCATGCATAAATAGCACTCCAGCAACTGTTTTCTGCAGAAACGAGAACAGTTAGCAGGACAAGTAAAAACGTACAGAAACTTGCACAGCTGATATAAATACGAGGGATTTTGTAATGTTTGTTAAGTACCGCCAACCCTTTAATAAACCATTCCAGTGGCAAAAGCTTTACCCGAAACAGGAGACTCTGAATGTAAAGAAAAGCAAATCATAAGTTTATGAATGACAGGGATTTTTTTTTACTACAGTATTTAACTTTTAACTTATATGTAAAGGAGATAAAAATTAAAAGTATTCAGTCTGCTCACTTTTGAGAACATGAAGCTATACATTTGTCAGTCACATAATTGGATGTATCTCTTCAATCATTTGTTAACACACACAGTAAACCAGTGTGGGAGAAACTCAGTACATTTTGGTATCTAGATTTAGTGAAGACACCTCGCTGAAGTTCAAACCGAGAGTAGAGAAAAACGGGGATCTCAGTGACTTTGAACAGTGCACGGTTGCTGCTGCTAGACAGGCTGGTCTGTATGTTAAGGAATCGGCTGATCTACTGGGACTTTCACGCTCCACCGTCTCTCAAGTTTACAGAGAATGGTTTGAAAAAGAAAAAAGTATCCAGTGAGAGGCAGTTCTGGACAAAAATACATCGGTGATGTCTGAGGTTAGTGAAGAATGTGCAGGTTGAGCATTGTTTAAATGCCACAGCCTACCTGCGTGCTGCTACTGACCATGTCCACTCGTTTATGACCACAGAGTAAATATCTCCGTAATGGACAAATAACAAAAACAATCTCAAACTGGTTTCTTGAAAAATGACAACAAATTCGCTGTACTTCCGTGTCCTTTGTATGGTTGAATTAGAGATATTTATCATGACGTGAGCCGACAGACATCATGTGTGAACCAAGATCTAATTTAAGGTGGCTTTTCCATATGAGGGTATAATTGTTCAAACAAAAAGCAAGAGTATTTTGCGACTAAAAATCCTAAATAAAGGAGGGAACTGTTTATTTGCACCAGTTAGAAACAGAGCAGTGGCACTCTGAAGCAGTGGTGCGTATGTTTTAGAAAGAACAGGCCTTATTACCGAGAAAACACTGGAGAAAGCAGGAATAGACCAGAGTTCATTTGACAATCAAGTTTAAACAAGGAGCCACTTTTCACCACTCAATTTCTCGTTGTTGTTGTTTTACTTTTAAAAACGTAAGGGGAGATCAATACATGAGCTCTTTCAAATGCTAATTCCAGAATTTTTGTGCCGTCCAGCTTCTGATCTCTTGTCGTCACTCATGGATAAACCTGGCAGTCGTCTGCGTAAAGGCTGATATGCACAAATATAACACAAAATCAATAGGAAGAGATTGAAAGCCATAATTATTAGTAAATGTGAGTAAATTAAAAAGCTGTAGAAATTATTTACGATGTGTGTATATGCTTATTGTGTTGTTGCTCGGTAAAATTCTGTTAGTCCAACAAACAAAATCAAAATAAACAAACACATTCAATCCTATGAAAGAAATCTTCAAAGAAATAGTTCTCTCAGATGCGTAATTTTTGTTCTAACTAGAAATATTTTGCAATTAATGACATTTCCCTCTGAATCCTGAAAACTGTGATGCAGGTGTCTTCGCTTTGCGGCGGTGAAAGTGAAATCTGGATCGGGTCTTTGATGAATCTCTTTTTTTTTTTGTCTTCCCTCATTGTCCGCAGCATCACTACGACTGCTGCCTGCATGATGGACCTGCGCCGCTACCCTCTGGATGAGCAAAACTGCACTCTGGAGATAGAAAGCTGTAAGTACTGCTCTCCCTGACAACCAGCTCTCACACCCACATGCAGATGGAGAATTAAACAGATCCCACACACACACACACACACACACACACACACACACACACACACACACACACACACACACACACACACACAGACACCAGCAGCCTCCCCGCAGCACCAAGGTAGAGTGGCTTGTTGATAAAACGCTACGTTAAATGCTGAGGAAGGCTGATGAGATAGCCAGAGATATGCATCAAGAAGAAGAACATCACTAATGGCTCAGTGACTGATAACATCCAGCCTAATTAATTCATCTTCAGCTGCAGTGGCTTCCCAAGGCGCAGAGGAGCCTGATTAGGTCCAGTGTTTCAGGGATGTGCTGATAGTCGATGTTATGCGCAGCTTTCTCCCCAAACTGCCTCTCCGTGTTTGTACAGTACAAAGAGCTCATTTCACATGGAGTTTGTAATTGTATGTGATCCAGCGCTCTCGAGTGGAGGGAGTGTGGGGAAGAGCATGAGAGAGAAAGATGAGGTCCTCTGCGTGTTTTATCTGGGTCCCCGGAGAGACGGATTATGGCGCTGGGATGTGGTCTATGGGGCTCAGTCTTTCCGGGTTTGATCACACTGCTGCAAACAGCGCCAGGCGGCACTAAAACGGCACGGGTCAGAACCGCCCCTCTCCCGTTATGTTCGCCATCGCTCTCATCGTCGTTCCCTCTTTTCCGTTTCTCGTCTCTTTTCTTTGCAAAGACTCATCCCCTTCTCTCTTTTTTCCCCTCCTCGCAGCCTTTTTATCTCTCTCCTCATCACTCATGTGCTGTTTTTTTTTTCCCCCTCTCCTCCTCTCCCCGGCAGCCCTACAAAACACACACACTCGTATGCGTGCGCACGAACACTGGCAGCTCTAGTTTTGATCACCAGGCAGGATCTGCTCTCATATGGATTAACTGGCAACGGTTTTAACGCTGGAATCTCTTCATGCCAGAGCGTGCTATTTTATTCAGACTAATGAGCCCAGAGAACTCTAACTTCCCTTGATAAACTTGATGCATTTTTAACAGACATTCCTAAAGAAAAGCTACAGATCCTTCAATTCGCCAGCAGCTCGCTGCTGCAGTTCAGGCCACTGGTCTAACATGATGAGCTCAAGCTGCAATTCGTCTCCTTCACTTTATTGGTTAATGCAGATAAACTCTGACTCCTGCATTCACCTCTTTGCTCACTCTTTGCTCAAACTCTGTCCTCGTGTTGTGGAGTTGTAAATGTCTTTCCAAAGTTTTCACACCCCTAGAATCTTTCCAGATTTTCGAAACGTACATTTAATTAAAAATTTTTTTTATATCTGCAACCTCAAATCGGATGAGGTTTACTGGTAAAAAAAATTGTTTTCAGCTGTTCAGTAATAAACTATTTAGATGAGAACAGCTTAATGAGATAAAGAACACTAACATTACAATAATTTTATTTAGAAATTATTGAATAATTGATTAGTATAGTCTCACAATTCTTCAAGACCCTCAGCTTTTCATAATAAAACGCTTTGTCTATTATGAAGACCCAGTTCTGGTACAAGCTATCAGTGGTTTCAATGGTGGCATCAGGTTTGCTTGAGGTACAAACAGCCCAGATAGCGATTGTTCATGGAAGTGTTGTATTGCATTTTAGATATAGTCTAGTGAATTGTCCAGAGAGTTCAGAGAAGATAGAATACCTTACTCAAAAAAGGGAAAAAAAGATACAAAATTATAGCAAAAGAGCCTGCAGTTGAAAGCATAGTTAGCAGAATTAAAGGTAGGAGGTTCGTTGCTAAACCACCCGGACATTTTAGCAAGAAGAAGTTATCAGTGGTTGGATTTGTGAAGAGGCAGGTGGCCAAACATCTTCCTCCGACTGGAAAAGTCCTGCAGGCAAACTTGGTGGCAGCAAAAAATATATATGTCTGTGCATCAAGAAATGTTTGGAATAGGAGGAAGGAAGCATAATGCTGGAAAGCACACCATGCCTAAGTGGAAGCACGGTGGCGGGTCAGTAATGCTCTGGGGCTCCATTGGTTCTTCTGACACCAGAAACCTGTAACATATGGAGGGCAATCAGTTATCAGTGACTATTAGGACAAAGTGTCATGCTGTCTGTGAGGAAGCTAAAGGTTGGTCGACTTTGGACCTTTAACAGGATAACAACCTTAATATGTCAAAGTCTCCCAGTTGCAGAGATCCCTGCTCAGCATCTCCCAATGAGGACATTAAGTGAACGTCTCCTTTTCAGACCACTCAGGTCTTCTTGGCTCAAGTCTACTCTGCATACCCAGAATCACAACCAAACTTGGTGAAGCATTACATTTTTATGCTCCACTAATGTGAAACAAACTTCTAGGATACTGCTGAAAACGGCAAAAATGCTGAAACACTGATTTCCTTTAAGATCAAGGCTAAAACCCCACTTTCATTGAGTTGCCTTAAATTGATAAAAAGTGGAACAGATTTTTTTTTTTTGCTCGTATTGCCACATTTTATTACTTTTCTTTTTTGCCACTGTAATGTGCGCTATTATTTGTTCGATGTGTTGTTTTGACCATGTAAAGCCCTTGATGCTAAGATCTGACTTGTGATTCTATTTTTTATTCTTCCGAGAAGTAAGTGGGTTTCAAAAACTGATGTTGTCCTCCCAGTCGGACTGGACAAAGCAGGCTTTAGATTTGTAAAACTAGTGGAGACAAGCAAAATGGTAGAGACGTGGACACCACATTTATGTTTTTAGTTGTCAAAATTCTGAAGAACATGTCTAGTCTTTTGCTCATAAAATTCCAATATAATACATTGAAATTTCCAGTAAAAACTTTAAAGGGATTCTTGTCGAAAGACACTTAAACTAAGCAAAAGCCTCCCACTAAGACAAACTGGTCCTGCTGAGACAGAAACAGCTGTACTGGACTCTGAGGAGGAGTCATACTAACTTGCATGAGGCAGGAGAAAAGATTAGCACCTTGTTTGCGTAGCTAATGTCCTCGCCTCTGTAGGATAAAGCAATAACATTTTTAAACAAATGAAAATATCCAAAGCCAACAAATTTGCCGAGAAAAGCTCGTCTGACATCTGAAAGGAACACACATCAGTTAGCCTCACCGACGCACTGGTTAATGCATTCCTGTATTACTCTGAACACATTCACACACACACCCACATTGGATCCCACATATGCTGCCCGGCTGCTGTGAAATACTCACCAGAGCGCCAAACGCGCTCTGCAGCTGTAAACCTCAACAGATGCATAATTTACTCCTGTTTGAGTAATACTGGCCACGAGCTACAGGACCCAGCTGTTTGGAAGAATAATTTAACTCCCTTTGAATAACAGAAACTGTGTATTTGTGCCTCATTGCGTTGACGAGCAGTGTGACGGAAAATCAGACTAACATGAGGGACGGACGCCCTTTTATTTCCCCGCTCTTCGACACATTCTCGCAGGTATGAATAACAAAATGAACGGCCAACGTTGCGCGCGTGTAAGTTTCTGCAGATGAAGGCCATTGCTGATATTATTAGCAGCACCTGAGCTTGTCCCGCTATGACAAATCAAAATGTCTGCTGTGATAAAAAGGCCTGTGGCTGAAGCAGGCCGCCTGCCTAAACAACAGCAGCCCAACATGACTAACTTCACCTTGAATGTCAGCGCCTTCGCGACAAAGAAATTTGTGTTAATTTAAAAAATCAGAGACTCGGAGTTTAATTATTCATTACATCTGAATAGGTCACCGCCTCTATTTTGAGCGCGAGGAAGACAAAAGTGGAGCTCGGAGTGTGGAGATTTCTGCAACGCTGTTTATGTTGGACGACGACAAGCTGCGACGCAGCGACCCATCCCCTTGATTTTTTTCTTTCTTTCTTTAAATTCAGAAGTTTATTTACATGTACTCGCCTTTACAGTATATAGTGAAAGTCCAGATTGGGGGATGGGGGGTGGATCAACAGAAACAAAACCCCAACTGTGACATTTGCTGTTCCTGACTCATAACATTTTGAGCTATTGCTCCTTAATTGAAGGTGATAATGCTTCTGCCTCTCTCGTCTCCAGACGGATACACCACAGATGACATCGAGTTTTACTGGCGAGGTGGGGACGGCGCTGTGTCTGGGGTCGACAGGATAGAGCTGCCGCAGTTCTCCATTGTTGACTACAAGCTCATCTCCAAGAACGTTGTCTTCTCGACAGGTAAGTCACTGAGAACAGATGCTTGTTTTTATGCTTTTAGATTTGTGTTTTGTGCTCATTTTGATGGGCAAAATTCAGTGCTACCCACAGTATTTGGCACTCCTGATGAAGATGTATTAGAAAGCCTTAACAAAATCGCTATTTTATAAATACGTGTTTTCTGCGTAAATTACACAGAAAATACATATTTAGTTTTACGCAGGATGGCATTAGAAAGAGAGTGCAAGGAGTTGATTTAAAATAATATTTCTCAGAGAATAAGAAAGCTATTTTGTGTGCATCGTGTGGGATTACGATGCATTTATACTGCTTCAGAGATGAAAAATGTTTTGCTTTTTTTTTTTTTTGCTTACCGTCATCCCCACTCGCCCAGGTACTCGCCCAGGGCGCCATTCGATTCCAGACCCTGTGGTTAACTTTAAAAAAATAAAAATAAAAGTATCACTAGAAAGATCCTTTAGTTTGATTCATTTTTTTTGAGTTGTTATGAGGGTACCAATGATTCTAATCTAATAAGGCTGCAATCAAACGTGACTGCAAAAAAAAAAATCGAAATTATTTTTCAGTGTTTTTTTGTTGTTGTTGTTGTTGTTTTACGTATGTTCCCCAGGGTTACCATGTGAGAATAAAAACACAATTTTACATGGAGATATTTGTGTAAGGCACCACAACGTTGGAAGGACAAAGTTGGCACCATGAAGGAGATTCTGTTTCTCTTCCCTGTGCCTCTTTCAGGTTCTTACCCCCGCCTGTCTCTCAGCTTCAAACTGAAGAGGAACATCGGTTACTTCATCCTGCAGACATACATGCCTTCCATCCTGATTACCATCCTCTCTTGGGTCTCCTTCTGGATCAACTATGATGCATCTGCTGCCAGAGTGGCCCTGGGTAGGACTGTCTTGCCTCTGCACAGCAGTGACCCAAAGCCAAATGATAACTGTGCATGAAAGGATCCATTTATTCTATTATGTTTCAACATGTTGAATTTAGACAGTTATTGTGTCCTTAATAAGGGAAATCCTTTATTTTCTGCACATTCGCTTTCTTCTTCTTCTTCTTCTTCTGTTTTTTAGTTTTATTTGTAAATTGTCTCAAAGCATGTGAATGATAGCAGTGCGTAATAGGCTGTCTGGCTAAGTGTCTGTTGTTCAGAGATGACTATGTACATGACTCATGCAGCGCGAGAAGCTCTGCAGCCTGACCTTGAAGCTCGCTGTCTTTCTCTCTGCTCATCTGTCTGTCGAAGCCTCTCAGTGCCCCCAAAAATACCTGCTCATCCTCCAGATCACATTAAAAAAAAAACATAAAAAAATCCGAACGAAGGACGCAAGTGAAAGCAGTCGCCCAAAAACGCACCTGGACGGTTTTCCGCACCAAAGTCAAACCGACACGAGCAGGCTAACGCGGCACTGCTGGGAAGGCGATTTAAAGATGTGCCCACATGCTCTCAGCACCCTGAGATTGTGCAGAGAGCGAGCTCAGCCAATGAAAGCCCTGGCTCCGTGCTACAGCGCCGCTGCAGGCTGCTGGGTTATTTATAATGCGTGTGAATCTGACCAAATGCAAATTGTGCAGGCAGATGACTAATGTATCAAACACAATGTGTGTGTGTGTGTGTGTGTGCGTGCTTGTGTGTGTGTCATAAAAGCAGGTGTATTGTGCTGTGACTAAACACAGATGTTTGCAGCAGCAGTGGGATGCTTTTGATGTGGTATGCTCAGAGTACGTATGAACGCGTGGATATCAACCTGTTTGACCTGAAATTATCCGATGGAGCACACATGCTCCCGGTCTCGGGGGATTCAGATGGAGGCTGCAAACCTTATGGGGTCTAATTTGGCGAGTCTTGTCTCTTCAATGCAGTTAAATACTTTATAATGTACAAGGCAGACATGAATGCTCAAATGTTCCTGTCCGTTACAGATTGGCACCTGATCTTACTGATTGCAGGGAAGCAAAGCAACAATTTAAGGACTCTGGTACAATAATGGTTACAATTTGTAACATATGAATGTGAGAGCCATGATTTCAGGAAATCGCTCCGAACGATTGCACCGGTGCAGTTTATCTTGAAACAAACTAATTTACCCAGAAAGGTAAAGAGGAGAAGAGAAAAGCTGCAATGACCCAGGTGCATTAGTGTGCACACGCAATTTTTTGCTGAAGAAACTTTTAATTTTATTTCAAGATTCAGTCTTTGGTATAGGAGTCTGTCAGGGTACCACATCTTTGCCAATATTTCCCTTTGCATCTTGCAAATGTCCTCTTAACTTTCATATTGGGAGGACATCTATTGCCTTCAGATTGTTCGAGTTAGTTCTGGGCTCTTGCATTCCAAAACTGCTCTCTTCAGATGAAGATTTGATCTTTGATTTTTTTTTTTTAATTCGGCGTCATTAAAATCTCTGTCCATCTGCAGCACTTTAGAAGAAAGTTTCAGGTCAAAGCCGTCTGGTGTTTGCTCATGATTTCGTCCACCATGACAAAAGATTTTGTTCGATCTGAAGAAAAGTAATCCCAGGGCATAATGCTGCCACCACCATGTTTCTTTGTAGGTGACGTTTTTTTGTTTGAGATTTTTGTGTCCAATGTACTAAATAAAATTGTAGCCTAAAGTTCTAGTTAGTCTGTAAGACCAAACCTGTGTTTTCACAAAGCGCGTCTTTTTAGCTTTACATTTATATTGACGGTGCTCATTTTCATTTGTTAAAATCAACCAGCACTTATTAAACATTCCTGCATCTCTTTCAATGTTACATGCAGCCTGTTTGACCCGTTCCCATCTTGTTTTTTTTTAGAGATTAGAGACAAAATGTAAAGGTGAATTTTGACTTAGTCTGCACTAATGCGAGTTCTGCTCTGATCTGTTGCGTTGAAGTAGAGTTGGACCAAAGATTTCTATTTAAATTAATAAAGAAATTAATTTAATACAATTTAGAATAAGGCTGTAACATAATAAAATGTGGAAAAGTTTAGCGACACTGTGAATACTTTCCGGATGCACTGTATCCCGGCATACTGGAGGTATGTCTGCATCTCTAGAAGCCCCGATCCATCCATCTGCAATATCCATCTCCTCCTCCATCTTTCCAGCTCTGTTTAACATGAAACCAATTCGTGAACTCCTCTGCTTGAGGCAGAAGATGTGAAGCTATCACAGAAACGTCCCAGATATGCTCTTCAACACCGCAGAATGTGAATATTTAATAGATATTTGTCCACTTAGCTTTAGATTATCACTTTCATGTTGTGCCCAGTTGCCCAAATATGGTCATTTGAGGCTGCGAGCAAGATGATTACGTCTGAATGCTTGTGTTAATGGAGCATTTGTAACTCATCCTGTGGACATTTCTAGACCACGTTTTCAGTTTTTTTTCCCCCTAAAAACTCAATGCAATGTATTGTTGTGGGGATGAGACAGAAAGAGACTCGTCTAAAGACTTTCTTTAAGTGTGACTCCACTGACCTGCAGGGATCACTACGGTGCTGACCATGACAACCATCAACACTCACCTGCGAGAGACGCTCCCCAAGATCCCCTACGTGAAGGCCATCGACATGTACCTGATGGGCTGCTTTGTGTTCGTCTTCCTGGCTCTGCTGGAGTACGCTTTCGTCAACTACATCTTCTTCGGCCAGGGTCCCCAGAGACAGAAGAAGGCGGCCGAGAAAGCGGCCACGGCCAACAACGAGAAGCTGAGACCCGACCCCAATAAGGTTTGTGCGGAGGGAGTCGTTTTTAAAACGCTTTTGTTTCTGTGCTGTCTTTTGATATGTATGTTTGTTTCTGTGTGAGCAAAGGGCTTCTTCTTCTTCTTGTTCTTCTCTTAAGGTCAATGTGATGCTGTAATCAATGTTTCATGTCCTTTACCAGCTCTATTTACTTATACTCCAGCCCTCGGTTGCTTGCTGCTTTAACGTTCTTACACAGAGTTGGATCTGAAAAAGCGAATGCAGGAACAATGACTGCTTTTTAAATACTTTATCTCCACGTTTTTGTGTTTCCCAAAGGACGAGGCGCCTGAAAAATCCCTGGCTGCAGCGCCAGAGTTTTCTCTTTAAATATTGCTCAGCACCATTAAGAACAACAGCATTTTAAATTTTAAATTTGAAAAAAAAAAAGAGAGAGAGAAACATCCTTTCCTTCTGAGTGTGGCAAGCTCCGATTTCCCTCAAGTAACAGTGCTGATTTTGTATGCTTGCAGTGGCTGGTGGGAAATGTAGTTCAAAGAGATGATGCTCTGTATGCCAGAATGAAACAGAGGGAAATTGACGCATATGACTCGATGTGGGATCCCATCTTTGTGGACGATGCCGCTTTAGGACTAGGCGATCAAAGAAATAAGGTACTGGAGGTTTTGAAAGTCAAAACTTAACAATGTCATCAATCTGAATCAGTTCAGATCAGAGGAAAATACTGTAGTCTTTTGTTTATTTCTTTGATTTTCTTTTTGTAGAGTTTTAAGGCAACCTTGACCATCACTCCCACCATTGTGTTTTTTTCCCTCTTTCGGTTTGCTCTTCATGCATTTTCCTGACAAACATGGCTCAGCAGCTTCATTTCTGCAGGAACTGATTTAATTTGAACTCTAGCTGATGGAAAATGACAGACAATTTCATTAAAATCTCAAAAAAGAAAAAAAAACACTAAATCTTTGAAGAAAAATGATACATTCATTACTTGGACCCAAGTGAAGAAATTGTGAAGAACGACTGGGCAGATACTAGAAACACATTTGCAGTTTTGATGAGTAGCACCGCTTCAAAGTGAGTTACCCTAAAACAGCAAAAACACAGAAAGGACAGGATTGGATTGTAGGGATGATGCTTTTCCTCAGAAGTCAGGCTATGGATGAAGAAATGTTGATCCAATTTCACCTCCCACAACGCCTCTCCCGACCTGCCCTGAACCTGTAGCCTCCTCCATCCTTGCAAAGTCCTTGCTATTTCTCTCAACCTTCTCCTGTCACTTTTCTTTTGTATATCTTTGCTTTTCTCTTCTTTTTTTTTTCTTTTTAACTTTTTTGTTTAGTTTGTCTTGTGAATCGGCAGAATTTTAACCATATCCTGGTCGAAATTCTGAGATGACAACGAAGGTTTCTCCATGAGAATCAATTTCCAAACTGCTCCTTCAAAGAATGTTATCACTTTGTAGCCTTCTGCTTGTATTATCATTTATGGTTTGACAAATGATAAGAAAATGTAACTTTTTTTTTTCATGGCTGTAAGTAGCAGTTTTCGACTCATTTGCATCACCCATTTTTAGCACCTCATCAGTATTTTGACACGCTAAATTGCTTAAAGTTCACTGCAGCATTTCTTAACTTTAGTTTAAAACGGTTAGTGCCTTGAAAAGTATTAATTTCCCTTGAACTTTGCCACATACGTTGTAACAACTGCAAACATCAGTGCATTTCTGGGGGAACGTGGATCAGCGTGCGTGTGATGAACCAACACAAGGCAGAACAGAATTGTAATGCTGAAGTAAAATGGTTCAATGTTTTCAGTATTTTTGCAGAGAAAATCCAAAAATGTGATAAGTAAAATCTTTCTCAGTTCTTTACAAAATAACTCAAAGCTCGGTTTCAAATTTCAAGAATAGACATGCATCTAAACTGGACCTAAGTTTTGAGTGTTGCTAGAACTTTCTTGTAAATGAATAACCGTTGTACCACAAACTGTATGTTTAAACGGAACCTATTATAAAATGTAGCTTTTTGCACATCTTTGTACATCCATGTTGGTCTCTACCACTTCTAAAACAAGACCACGAGCTAAAATCCATTTTCTGGCAATAGGTAATTTTTTTTTTTTTTTTTTAGGGTCTAGAAAACCCATAAGATTTTTAAAGCCTATATTTTTGCAAACAGCCATTGTGATGGTTTAAAGACAGGTGTAATGTGATCCATTTATCGTGTTGGTCAGGACTGTGGCAGCAGCATTTTGGGCCTAAGACAACCTGATTGAATTTTTCCAAACACCTCTTCAGGCAGTATTTTTTTTCCTCATCCTGCTTTAACAGAAAACCCTTTGTCCCAGCTGTGTATAACGTGATAGAAGTAAAATTTATTGACAGACCTTATCTGAATGCACTCTTTTTATATATTTATTTGAGAGTAATATTCAAATTCATCCTTCCTGTTTCTTCCACTCTCCAATTATGCGCCGGTTTGTGTTGGTCTATCACCTAAAGTCCCAATAAATGCTTTCTCGTTTTGTCGGAAAATGTGGAAAAGTTCAAGGGGTGTAAATACTTTTGCAAGGCTCCATAGTTTAATAACACACTCTCACGCTCTTTCAGTAACTTCTCATGGCTTCATCTGTTATTTGTGCACCTTCACACAGATGACCCCCGACGACAACATCCTGTTCAGCGCCATGGAGATGAAGAACGAGATGGGCGGTGCCGGGGATCTGTCCCGGGGTCTGGGAGCTCCCACGGATCCCCGCAACACCATGCTGGCCTACGACAGCTCCACGCTGCAGTACCGCAGGGCGGCCATGGCCCGGCAAAACTATGGCCACAGTGCCTTGGAGCGCCACGCCCAGAAGAAGTCCCGCCTACGGAGACGGGCCTCGCAGCTCAAGGTGAACATCCCAGACCTGTCCGACGTGAACTCTATCGATAAGTGGTCCAGGATGATCTTCCCCACCGTCTTCTCTTTCTTCAACGTGGTCTACTGGCTCTACTACGTCCATTAAAACCCCGGAGAGCCAGGAGGCCGGCTTCCCGCCAGACGACTGACGAAGAAGAATTGGCGTGAAAAAAAAAAAAATCAAGAAAGATAAATAATTTGCGTGAGAGAGAGAATGCGAGATGAAAACCGTGTGCTGACTTTTTTAGAGCTGGTTTGTTTCAGACGACGCGAGGAGAACACAGAGACTTTTTTTGCAGCAGCACCCACTTCAGTCAGCAGTGACTCTTTTAGGATTTGGGAAACACCTTCAAGTGACTGACGAGCACTCAAATAAAAAAAGAGTGAATAAAGAAAAAATAAAAAACAAATGAGAAAGACAGAAAAGGTGCCTGTTCCAGAATTTCAATATATCACTAATATTTGTCATTCGTAGCTTACTATCTCTCTGTGGATCAAAATATTTATGCTTGTGTTTGCATATACTTTAAGGATTTCTTTTGTTTAGTATCTATTTACTTCGTAGCCGAGCTGTCTGCATCCAGGAAAAGCTTTATAAATGATTTAAAAGGAGGTCATCCTTGATAGTCTATTTTCCTATATTTACTGTATATCAGAAACATCCTTTAAAAAAAAAAAAAAATAAAAAGAAAGCATGCTTATTTTTGGTTTTGTTTCCATCTCAACTATGATGAGGAATGACAGTATTTTTAGTTGTACTAGTTGGAGGTTTCTTGCAGTTAACTTAGCACAGGCCACCTGAATTGCAACAGGTGAACAGCAGGGGGCAGTCTTATCACTGGAGCTTTAATGATCAAAGAAAGAGCAGATCTGGGGAAGTTGATGCTTTTGCTAAGGTTTATGTTACTTTTTTCTGTGCTGACAGATTCCCTTCCATTTATCTGTGAGGTTTAATTTTCCTTTCCAAAAACGTCTAACTGAGTGAGTTTTTTTTTATTATTATTTTTTTTCCCTCCATCGTGCAGAGAATGGCTTTAATTTAACGCGCGCTGGCGTAAAGAACTTTCCCGATGGAGCGAGCTTCATCGCTGCATAACTATGGCAATCCACAACCATCGTTATGAGTAAGAACTGAATGATAGGAGTAAGATGCATTTCATTGTGATTAGGTTTCTGTTTCCAGAAAAAGAAAATAATTCTTAAAAAAAAAAATACTGTAGATAACATATTTAATGAAAAAGAAGATTCATTTTTATAAATCAATCCTCTCTTTATTGTGTAAATATTATGAATTTATTCTATTTAAATGGGTCTTTATTGTTGTTTTCTGCAGTTGAATTACAGCTCAAATGTTCCATTTAGTCAAAAAGAAAAAGAAAGGAAAAAAAAATATCTCAGCTTAAGAAGAAATAAAACAGTTCACAACTTTGCTGACTATACTTTTGGGACTTTTCTCTCTTTCTCTCTCTCTTTCTCTTTCTCTGTCTCTTGTTTTGTTTTTGTTTTTTTCCTTTTCTTTTTAATGGACTCTGAAAGCATCTACTTGCTGAAACTAAAGCACTTCCAGACACCACTGACTTTTGGGTCAATGTCTCACGCTCCTGAAACAACATAACCAGGATCCCTCCCCTTACTACCCAGGCATTGAAGTCAGGCCTATTTTGTACAAAGTTTCTGTAAATTCTAATTGTAATATTTCATAATGACTGTAAATATCTTGTGTAATAACTGTCAGCAATTATGAAGATGTATCTAAATTGAATTAAAACTCAGTTAAGTCTATCACTTCAACAGAGGAGCGCCACTGGTGGTGGTTTTATGTCCTTCCTGTGTGTGAATGTGAGGCTGATCGCTGGCGGGCTTGTGGCCGATTGAGCGTCTGAATGAGCCGAGCGAACAACCGAACCCGACACGGGGACGGAGCAGGCAAGCGGCGGAGGCAAGGGCAGGGACGAGCTGAGGAGCAAAGCTCTGCAGCTGGGTGCTGCTGGCTGCATAATGGATGGAGGGGCGCAGGAGCTGGAGTGAGAGGCTGCAGCGGTGGTCCCGCGCAGGCTGGGGTCTGAGCAGGCCCAAGCTCAACACCTGGCCTCAGGGGACATCAACGCAGAGAGCCGTGGCTGTGGAGGCACACTTTGGACTCAAGTGAGGCCCTCTGGCTGCGAGGGACCACAGTGCCTGCGACGGGAAAAAAAATAAAAAGAGAGAGAAGGAAAATAAAGCACAAGACAGAAAGAGAAAGAAAGAAAGAAAGAAAGAAAGAAAACGCATCCATCCGAGGAGTGTGCTCTCTGCGCCAAAGTCTGAACACATAAATGGAGGCTGGTGAATATTTGATGGTGCAAAACACAGAATATTTAATATTTAAAAAGAGATTTTGTCCTAGCAGGAAATAATGTGCAGCTGCTGTTTGATTTCAGAAAGAAAAGAACACAATGAGATTCAAAAGAAGAGCGTTTTACAAAAAAACAAGAACAAAAAAACAGGCTACACAGAAGTAACACCTGAAGATTTAGAGATAGTCACGATAGTTTTGAGAAGAGTTAGATATGCAAGAAAATGAAGCTAAATATACAGAAGGTTGTGGCGGAGCTCATGTTGGCTGTTATGTGTGCAAGACGCCTCTGGGAATAAGTAGACTAAGTGCAACGGACCTTTGGAGGCAAACTGATGTAAAAAACTGATGTATCAAGATGTGTAACCTTGTTCCTTCATGCACCGGTAAAACATTCCCCCGCCAAAAAAAAACACTCAGCCACATAACAGATGCGTTACCTCAGCAGACAGATGGTTTGTACCAAATTGGCCTTTTCTTTCCTTTTTCCTCTTTTCAAAAGGGGCTTTAGTGTTGACATGTGAGAATAGGAGGGGAGGCAGATGCTCCCTGCTTTGTAGTCTTTCCATGTCACTGGCGTAATTAGCCATGCACAGACCTCTGCTCTGTGGAGCCACGTGTGTGAGTGTGTGTATATGCGTGTGTGCCTGTGTGTGAAGTCGCAGCTGAGCTCTGTGAAGTTGGCTAGCCGACTAAGCCCAAAGCCAGCCAGCGCTGACTGGGACGGGTGAGAGGGTGAGTCTGACACAGTGGCGTCACGCCACTCCCCGGCCACAGACATATGTGATGGAAAAACACGTTAGGCTGGCTGAGAGGGAGGGAGCCTATTGTGTCATGTGCTCGCAGACAGGAAATCATGATGTGTTTTTTACGGTAAATACGAGATCGTGTTCTGGTTTGTGCTCGGGATTTCGAAATGTTGAGACCCCGTAAGTCCATCCGCGTTCCGCTTGCTTCCAACTACATCTGGATTTGACTTCTTCACTGAAGATTTGCTGAGATTCTAGCAATGAACAAGTGGTCTGGAATAAATCCGGCATTTATCAGAGAGACTTGGCAGGCAGGTTTGGAAAAGACAACTTGCGTCAACATGAGGAAATGGAAAGCTTCCTACATGCAGGCCATCTGCGCAAGAAAGCATCCTTGTTGGTGCCCTTCAGAGTCCCTAACAAAGGCAATAAATGCTGCAGTTAGTCCAGTTTTTTCATTCAGTTTAAACAATTATGCTCATGCTCACATTCTTCTCCGTTCAAATGACTTTAAGGCTCTCTAAGAACAAATTGGTCCGGTTAACGTTCACACTGAAATGCAGGAGTTTCAAAAGAATCCACTGTGATTTCATGAGACAAACCGACACAAAGTTGTGCAAATATGTGAAACTGAATTAATGCCTTTCAAAATGTTTCTTTTACACCAAAGATCTGGAAAGAGTGTGGTATATTTTTAACTACACCTGAAAGGTGATACTTTCTAGAATCACCTTTTGCTGCAGTGGCAGCTGCGGGTTTGTCTCTACCAGCTAGAAACTACAGTTAGTTTTTCCTCACTCTTCTTGGCAAGATGGTTTAAACTCAGTTAGATTTAAGAATAAAAAGCATTTTACAACAAATTCTCAATTGGATTGAACCCAACTTTAAACTGGATCTCTGATCTGTTTGCTGTGTTTGTTAGTTTTCCTAGAATCTCCATAAAATATGTTCCGGTTTGTGATTGTAATATGGCAAAATGTGAATATTTTTGCAATGCACTGTGAAACCCGTGTTTTTCCACTATCTGTAACAGAGATCTTTATGCAAACCTTGAGCTGTTTTCTCACTGTTAAACTTGTCAACTCAATTCTCCTGATGTTCAGCAGTTTTGGTTTCCTGATCTAGCAGATCATTTTGGGGAAATTCTCCTTGATCAGATGGATTTTTCTGCCAAAGCATCAGTTTTAATTGTTTAATGTTTCATGGATTATTTATTTACTTATTTAATTATATTTAATAGTCACCGTTATGCTGAAGAAAACACGTAGGTGAAGCACTGACTCAACTTTCTACAATGTAAAGAATTTTGGTGAAAATCAGCTGAGTCTCTTCAGCACATTTTTTTTTTCTCAGTTCATTCATCTTGCCTCTCCAGAGTAAGGAATGCAAACACACCTGTCACTGTGAAGGGGGCGGTCCCAGGAAAGGTATGTTGTCACTTGTTTCAACTCAGGCCTCACTCACTGACAGCGAACCACCGAGGGAGACGATGGCTCTGAGGTGAAAGCCCTTCAACGTCTGTGGAAATGGAACTTTGGTGAGGAAAGGAAACAAAAGCGACGGTCCAATCATGACGTGGAGGAGCCCTCTGGCCCTGGTGAGGGATGCTCTGCAAGGTCAGAGGGCGCGGGAGAGGGAACTCCGCAGCTTGGTGTCCAATCTGCCCTATGAGGGACTGGAGAAGGGGAAGCAACCCAATCGCTTCTTCCTTTCTAACGCCATCAAAACCACAAAGTACTCGCTGCTGCTGTTCCTTCCCATGAACCTTTATGAGCAGTTTCACCGCTTGGCGAACCTCTACTTTGTGGGCTTAGCCATCCTGAACTTCATCCCCGTGGTGAACGCGTTCCAGCCTGAGGTGGCCCTGATCCCCATCTGTGTCATCATGTTGCTGACGGCCCTGAAGGACGGCTGGGAGGACTTCAGGAGGTACCAGTCGGACAGGAAGGTCAACAACACGCCGTGTTTTGTCTACAGCAGGTACGTTCTCGTGTTCTGAACGCTCATGCATGATGTGGCAGGTGTAAACCACATCAGCACATCTGTTTCTGATTCCCTGTATGTCTGCATCTGTGAATTTCATCGCCTCTGTGTCTCAGCACACCTTTGGGAATTTTCGACTTAAAAATAGAGAATGCGTGGGAGATTATACAACGTTTCGCGCCATCACAGAGAGCATGTTTGATGAAATCCTCATCTGAGTGTTACGTAAGCAGAGACAGTAAGGTTAGCTGTTTTCTATTTTTGAATGGCTGGTGAAAAGGAGAGATTCACAAAGGATGGTTGACATTCTCACACCCTTTTTTAATGCTATGAACTAGACGGTGCAAGAAGAGAAAATTTGGTTCGGTTGATATTTTTTCTTGCAACATTGTTGACATCTCACTGTTGTGCTAGCATTTGTTTCAAGTCATTATGATTGTGTTGGTCACAAGCGAACAGCCCTCCTAAGATGTTTTCAGTGGGGAAATCCACGACAAAATTCTGGAGATGGTCTACAAATAAACACTCACATCATGGAAGATAAAGTATGGTCCTAAGAAGTGTGGCTACAGGATTCTCACTGGCTCTAAAATCTAATTTCAACATATCTGCATGGAAATTCCCACACATACATTTTCCTTATAAATGTGTCACCATCTGGGGTGAAATAAAAATCAAGAAAATCAAGAAAAATTGATACCACAATTTTTGGTGGTATCAAAAATTACCACCAATTTTTGGTGGACTCACCCAGATGTTGTCCAATTGAAATTTCAATTGAAATTGAAATTGCTTTTCAATTAGCAATTGAAAAGCTAATTGTTAGCTTTTCAAGCTAACAAATAGCTTGAAAAGCTTTAGACGAGAGAAAACACAGCAGATTTTATCCAGTTCATGCAGAAAAGACTGCAGATTTCATACAG